TCCATGAGCAACTATTCATCTGTTATTCTTTTGTAACTTTTCAATTGATTTAATTCCATAAACCGTAGAAACACTAGTGCTTCTGACATCATGCCATTGTAATTCTCAACAAACAGAGGATTACTATAAAACACTACATTTCGATCCAGTGATTTTACTGCAGCTAAATACTTCCGATCGCGAAATGTATTAGTTTTTTTAAGTTAGCAAAGGTTACGCAGTTGGTGATCCGATTCAGTTTTTTATGCGCCGTTAGGTATAAAACATGAGGTTTATATCTCGTGATTATTCAGTTAATTATCGTAAATCAAACATCATTTAATTATAACACGACAGGTAGTTAGTAGAAATGATTCTTAGCTAAATTCACGAACAATAGATTGTAAAAAATGAATGGAAAAATATTTTGAAGTGTCTGTTCACAAGATTTTCTTTTATGATATGCATTCCATGGAATTATAGTTGCCTGCTAACAACTCAAATATTTAATACTCTAGAAAAGTCATCTTTACGGGAGAGAGATTATATCTATAAAAGGTCATAAACACAGGGAATATTTATGAAGACAATGTGGCACGAGATAGAAATATATTAGTAAGGGTTTGTAATTTGTGGTTGTTTTTTATTCAAACTGCCATTAATCGATGAACAATAAACAGTTTCGTAGTTATATATACTGTAATTTAGTGCACTACAAAGATTATTTCACTGTTATGTATTCGTTTACATTTTCCATTTCCAAATAATAAAAAAGTTTATAGCCTATTGTGTTCCAAAAGTTTGAATACTTTGTTTATCATTTCATAATACTTTTATTAAGGATACTAAATTTTTAAATTACATGATTTCCGCTTAGTTTCTGAACTAACAAGACTTTACATATTGTTAATCTGACAAAATCTATTAGTTATTTACTAGAATTTCAACTTTGTATACTAATGTTATCATGATAATTTGTTCCTGCTGTGAAAAATTAAGGTGTGTATACAATGCTCGTTGGATGAAATTTAAAAAAAGCTTTCAGTTATAGCATATCGTTTGTAAATTTCATAGTGAAACCATTGCCATAGTTCGAGTGTAAATATTCAAATAACTAAGCATAATTAATCAAGTGGGTCTTCAAATCACATAACTAATTTCAGTAGTTGAAATCATGAGCCAATTGTAGCTAGACCACCACGGAAAACCTGGAAACACTGGATGGCCGTTTCGTTCTAGTATATGACATCTCAACAGTGCGCATCCACGATCCCGCCCCCAACGAGATTCGAGCCCGGAACCTAACGGTCTCGCGCGAGAGCACTTAATCTCTGGATTACTAAGCCGAACGGCATCTAACGGTGTTAATGTCTAACTTGAACTAATTCACGAAATCGCGCCACCACACACCATTGTTTTCAGTGAGCTGATATATCACAACAAACCTGGTTGGACTCCACTGGTAATAGCTTCTCACTAGAACTCCAGAAAACGCCGCTTGAAGTCAGTCACTAGTGAGTAGATGATCATTTTCAGAAGGGTTTTTGTGGAAATTGGTTGAAGTTAGACATTAACACCGTTGAATGCCCGCTCAGTGGTCTAATGCTTAAGCGCTCGCGCGCGAGACTGATAGGTCCTGGGTTATAATCTCGCGGGGCGGGATCGTGGATGCGCACTGCTCAGGAGTCCCACAACAGAACGAAACGGCCGTCTAATGCTTCCAAGTTTTCTATGGCGGTCTAGATTCGATTATCTCATGATTTCAACTATGAAATTACTAAAATCTCCACAAAACCCCTTCTGACTCATAAGTAACTTAATTTTGTGTTAAAGAGATTTGTTTTACAAACGCGCCAGTTAATTGTCGAATCTATATTAAGTTTTCGGATTTTTTTCTCATCGCTGAATGATTACCTTTAATCGAAGGAATATTACACAGTCTCTAAAATGATATTGATAATTTCCGATGTACCGGTGCAATGTTATTCTGTTACTTTGAAGAGTGTTACATAAAGCTTTTGTTTTTAAATAAATTAAATTAAGGTTTGAAGAAGTAAATTTATTCTGTCCCAGCTACCAACAGTCGTGGATCATAATTATTATTAAATACATAGTGTGACATAAGAAGGGTAATTTATCCTTTTAAAAAGTTCACATCGTGATAAGAGAAATAAATAGAAGCTGGGTAATGAGGGAAGATGAACATTGAAAATAGTAATCTTAATGTAGCAAGATAATAAAAATATTATGATAATTAAAGGATCGTCAATGAATGGCACTATGTAGCATCAGTCAGTCAGTAACAACGTAGAACTTCGTACGTACGTACATTAGTTCGAGTTGCCATACCACATTAGCACAGAGATGAAGTTGTCGATTCAAATCCCTTAGTGGTAGAGGTAGTAAGAGTATAAGCAGTAATCGGAAAGATGTAGCATAACCAACGTCTACTTACTATACTAATAATACACTAGATTAATAGCTAGAGCAATAATGACTATAATTTGTTATAGTGAATTATATTATATATTACTTTGGAAAGATTGAAAACTTTAGTTTTATTCTAATGTTAGAGCTGAATAATTAACCTTTTACTCAATTAAAATAAGTTTGAACAAATTTTATTTATCGTTTATATTGTGTATCTACATTCACATGTACAGAAATTAATATAAATGTTACTGAAAGTGACAAATAGAACACGTTAAATTTCTGTTTCAATTAACGACTTTTTAATGCCGCCGAGTTAATGTGAGACATTGAAGAGGAAGAATGTATTTATAAAATCTCAGCTAAAGAATTTGTTGATAATTTGTCATAATTTTCGTTTCTTCGTTTTTAACATTCATCAGTTTATTTTCAATTTTGTTAAGGTTGTAAGGTTATTAGATTTACTTGTTAACAATGATAAACTTAATATACTTAGACTGCTTAAAAATAATGGGAAACCATATTATATGATAAGTTGTTTTTGTCTTAGATATCTTATCGTGGAAACTCAATACTCGGCTGATCATTCTTACTTCTTGATAAAAAAAATTGTTTTTTCTTTGAAAATTCATTTCGAAAAACTGATATATTTCATACTTTAGTAGGTAGATATGTCCATTTATGTAACCATAACCAACTCCATTATTGATGTCTATGTCGCATGAACACTTTACTTTAATGCGACATTCTGAACAATTATTATGATTGGATTGTACTTAATAATCACTGTTATTCACTGAGATAATTGTAAATACCATTAATTAAAAAAATATAGCCAAATACACTTTGAACTTTCTAAAGCATTTAAACATTTAGGTTTGGTTAATTTATTCAGATAATTAATAAAATCGTCATAAAATCATACAAATGAACACTTGAACTATCTATTTAACTGAAATATTTATATTTTTTAAAACTTTTGTAGTGAACCGTGATCTGATTCCAAGTTGATCGTAATGATTTGTTTGTTATCGCCTATCCTCGTATATAATCATTGACTTGAATCGCGTTAGTTAATAACGGAATTAAATAAGTCAAATAACAAGAATGGACTTTTGAATGCATATATTTTGTATAATCATTGGTCCAGACAAACGAACGGGAAAACTATGCGAAGAAAAATGACGCGCGGTGAAGTTAACTGGTAAGCCAACTCCTCTGCGCGTCGTTTCTCTTCTTTCTGTTCTGTTCGCTTCGTATACAAATATATGTATCCAAAAGTGCATTCTCGTTATTTGACTTATTTAATTCCGTTATTGACTAACGCGATTTAAGTCAATGATTATATACGAGGATAGGCGATAACAAACATTCATACGATCCATTTGGAGTCAAATCACGGGCTACTACAATGGTAAGCTCGCCGACGACGAACCTAACGCAACCCAGCGACAACGGCCACCCACAAAAATGGTGAGCCGACAACGACGAACGCAACGCAGCAAGCTACGTCGATGAAGAAACTTCTGAACATGATACTTTCGACGAACAAATTCAGCGAAGCCAGGACACTCTCTAATACGACGCACTCAGATCATGGGCCACTAAAGTGGAGAGCCCTTCGACAACATCGTGCGATCTAAATGGCGAAAAAAATAAAACGGGCTCCACTAAACTTTACTCCATCTGTATTTAGTTATACATCGACTTTGTGTATGATGAGTTTTGACAATCGAATAATGTAAAATTATTATTAATTATCTATCAAATGAAGAATTAATTTGTGTTAATGTTTATTAGTAAAATTACATTCACTTATCGTGTATTAGCTGCTGGTTGTCGGCCTATGCTCCTCCACGAGGAGTAACAGGTCTAAGTAAGTAATCATATATTCAGTAAACAGTTTTCAGGAAAGATGGTAATCGACAGTATTACGGTGGATTGTTCAGCATGGTACTTAAAACAACACATTTAAACTTAAAATAATCATTCTATATATATTTCGTACTGTTATATGTATTAACAATAAGTTAACAAGGCGAGACTATAATTTATGTACGAACCAATCATGTGTGAGATAACAGGTCTCGGAGTTTGGTGCTAAATTCACCCATCCTATTGGCTAAACAGAGTTTTGGCATTATAGTTGATGTCATTTCGTGATGTAAACCCCAAATGTAATTCCTAACCCTAACCATCAACTACAAATCATAATTCTATTTCCTTACACTGGTTTGTAACCCTCTTTTGGTCGTAGCTATCAGGTGGACACTCTGAAGGTTCCTTTAGCGTCTCTCAAAGGTCGCCCAAAAATTATTGTCTTACCGTTAGGAAAATTATTTCTACTTATGATCTACAATGTTTACTGTTTTTCTAATAAAAAACACGATTATCAAGGTGTAAAAATCTCATATATATGTATAAACTGGGGTCACAAATAGAAGAAAATTGCTGAAGGCCTATATTCGTTTACTAATATATATATATATATATATATATATATATATATATATATATATATATATATATATAATGAATATGCTTTTAACCCATAATAAATTATGCTTCATTGAAAATGTAATCCGACTAACCTGTCACAAGAATATGAAGTATTTCTTGACCTAATGAATTAGTTACGAATTTCACTGATGCTTCTACTACTTTACGTATAATTCGATATTGTCCTATTGATTTTCCCTCCGTAATTGTATGTAAGTTGAAGTTAGTTGGGAAGTTTTTATTGTTACAAAATACTGATCGTAATACTGAATGATTACCTATAAAAAGAAAAATAATTAATTACAAAACTATTCATATTATATATTTTACATTGTTATTTATTGTAAAAGCTGTATAATATGAACTATTTCAAATTAGGTTGTTACGTTTGAATTGTAAGTTAGATTTTATGAGGAATTTGTATCAATCGAAAAACAAATTGATTCAATAGCACCACTCCATAACTGATAGTTCTTTGTTTTTGAGACACCAACACAGTTTTCAGCAACAATTTTTATATGTCACGGCTAGCACTGTAGAATAGATTTAGGTTGAAATAACACGAAATTGTGATCGTAACTTTAGTAGTTTAATTATCCGATAACATGGTTTTATTGTTCAGCAGTTGATGAATAGATAGATGTTTCTGCATATTACCAAAGCAAACAAACATTTGACAATTTTGATGAACATTCTTAGTCTTAACTAAATGACGTAGTTAGGAGAATAAAGTGTTCACTTTAATCCTAAGAAAATCTAACACTAAATTAATGTATATTTCTTTTATCAAGCAGTGAATACAAATAACAGATTTGTGGTGTTATTGACTGAGTAAACTTTATTTCATAAACGAATCTCAACATCACGCAACAGTTTTAGGTAAATGTTGGATCCATCTGCCGAAGTAACAAATGAAACAGTTCAAGAGAGTATTATTCCAAAACAATTCACATCTGAATGAGAGATTCGTAATAAAATCTCATAAGTTTTGTTATGCATCAATAATTTGTATAATTCTGAAAGGATTTTTTATATGTAACGTGAACAAAAATACTGTCATCTATTTTGTGTACAGTAGCTGGTTCAAACTATTTGTAAGTGGTCAACCTTTACTCAAATAATGCAACTGTACCTGCTTTTATCAGGTCATTTGTATATTTAACAGTGACTAATATGACATATGCTCTATTAGATCTGGAGGTTTGTTGGTTAATTTGAAAATAATTTTGATAGACAGAATTAACTAGGAGTGCATTGTTGCGTGTATTTAGATTTAAAAAAAAATTTTTTTTCTAACTGGTCCTTGTGATTTGATTAGTAAAACTATTTACTAATATATTATGTCCCAATAAGCATAATGAATGGTAACTTTTGGGATCCATTTATGGACAAATACTATGCGTACATTTTTATCGTATAACTGTTAAATATTAAACTGTTCATATTCATGTCCCTCTTATTATAAGTTTTATTTTGATCTATGAACAATTATTATACGATCTACCATTCTTGAATTATGCCCTGTCTATTAATCACTACCTCCCATATTCACAGTCACATTTGGCAAAATCTTGTACAAATGTTGTTTCATATTTTGTGGTACGATGTGGTCTGTCTGGTTGGTATATAAACCCAGTACGCTTGAAATAAATGATTCGTATTGCAAAGGCTGAGATTGGTGTTCTGAACTTAACTGGCTGGGCTAGGTAGTAAGCAGGAACAATAAGTACTCTAGACTGCTCGCACGGGTTTTATGCATCATTAGTCCGGTTGATAATTCACTGCTCTCTGATTGGTGGTATCATTACGTCATACATTAGCAAGGTACTCAGGCCACAAGTTTTAACATACATACTACTGAATTCTCTACTTTATTAAACATAATTCTGTTTTCTTGTTTTTATGAATATAAAATGAATATATATAATGTTTCGCTGTTTTTTCTCAATAATAATCACGATAATATATGATAAATTGATTTTGGCAAAAACATTGTTTCCATAATTAACTTTTAATCAAATCAAACATTAAAAGTAAATTTTTTACTTTTAAATAGTGATAGCATTAATTTTGGGTAGTTTCAAATGATCTTTTTTTTAAATCTATTTGCTATAGAGACAAGACATAAGAAAAACTCATTATACAAAATAAGATACTTTTACACTTTATAGTTGGTTAACATATATGCATACATATACATAATATAGTTCGTAAACAGTATGTGTTAATAACAAAATCATTGTGACTAACAGGTATAGTTAGTAATAATCCACTAACCTTGCCAGTTATTTTTACTGAAGGTAGATAAAAAATTTTTTAAAAAGTGAAGAATGTATTATTAATATGTATTCACCTCATGATTTCATAAGGTTGTTGATTATTTGATAAACGATATATAGTTGAAAATGTTTGTACATCGAATTAACATGCACTTAGATAAACTTTTATTTGCTTAAGAAAAATACTAGTCATTGCTTATACAATGATTTAAAGTAATTTAATAAAGCGGAATTATTATTAATCAGTATGTGGAATATTCGTTTACGACTTATAAATAAGGGAATACCTGAAATCTTAAGTATGTTATCGTAGATTCTTGAACAGAAGTTTAACATTAACAAATGAATTCTAATCGGAAAGTATTTATTCATATACATCAGTGCTTCTTCAAACAATTGTAAATCAGTTAGATGATTTCAGGGATACTCAATTTCAAGTCAGTTTTAACCACAAGGTGACTTTTCATGATTCACTTATAGGATCAGACAGAAGTTAATTGCGTATTTCCAAAGGTTGAGTGTACAACTTTGAACTTCCCTTTATGGGCAGGTGAGAAAATAAGCACATTGGATTTTTAAGAACGAAAATTAGTCCTTCGTTCAGGACGAAAACCATAGAAATGTATGTCTATGAATTGTCCTATATTTAATATATTAATGTTATGTGATAATAATCTCCTAACTTAAATTTGGATCCAGTTTTTTAATAAAATCGTCCAGGAAAGTCTTAAGAACCAGTTGTAGGAGTTTTTCGATGAAAATGGATATTTAAGCTATACTCAATATTCACAAGGTGACCTAACTTCTAAGTAAGCAGTAATTTTTTATAAAACCCGTGAAAATTATTTTCCGTAGTTTTAATGAAACTTTATTACCTGTAAAGCCAATCGATTCGACGGCGAAATAAGAACTCGTCAAAGTCACTAAATAATAATAACCACTTTTAACAAGGTTTGAATAATTTTTTTCCGTTTAGCGTATTTTCAGCGAGTTGGCTTTCTACGGGATGAGGTCGCTAACCCCATGTCCAATCCTCCTCATTTATCCGGGCTTGGGACCGGCAGTAACCCCCAGAGGGACTCCAGGCGGGGCCATCATCCAGAAGATACAGGTGTTTATTAACAGTTGTCTACGCAAAATACTTCGAATCCGTTGGCCGGACACTATTAGCAACAACCTATTGTGGGAGGGAACAAACCAGATCCCAGTGGAGGAAGAAATCAGAAAGAATAACTGGAAGTGGGTAGGACACACACACACATTGAGGAAAGCACCGAACTGCGTCACAAGACAAGCCCTCATATGGAATCCTCAAGGTCGAAGGAAGAGAGGAAGACCAAAGAATACATTACGCCGGGAAATGGAGATAGATATGAGAAAAATGAACAAGAATTGGATGGAACTAGAAAAGAAGGCCCAGGACAGAGTGGGTTGTAGAGTGCTGGTAGGCGGCCTATGCTCCATTAGGAGTAACAGGCGTAAGTAACTAAGTAAACTTTTAACAAACTGACTCACGTTAAAATTATAGAATACTAGATTAGAGCAGAATGTTTGAATTGTAGCTTATTCTCTAAGAAATTTATGACTTCTGAATTCGATTTCATGAGGCTTCATCCGTCATCAGTGATGAGAAATCTTAAAATAAAACAACTCATCCATCTATTCGTATATAGACTTTAGTTCATCAGCTGAAAAAATTTGTATCAAAAAATTTGACTACAGCAAACTTTTCTCAGTTAGTTTGATCGATTTTTTTAAAAAGTCTATTATTATAATTATTTTAGATACTTGCACGATATAAAAATTTGCTTTTTAAGGGACACTTTTGTTTTGTCATTGAATATATTCTAGAATTATAACATTAATTATGTGTAATAAATAATGAATTTATCTAGTTGTTGTTTCTATAAATATAGATCTATAGTTCTAAGAAAATATGTATTGATAAAGGACAATTATTTAAGGTGAATTACTTCAATCTTCAAAGTAAGATTTAATCTCCATTTTTTTGTTGTTGTGTTTAAATTAAGAAAATTGAATTAAATTGGACGATATGGTTAATACAAACTACTTTTAAATTATATATATATATATATATATATATATATATATATATATATATATATATATATATATATATATATATATATATATATATACCTTAAGTTTGGTTTACATTCTGTTCCCTATAAAATTAAAGTAAAATGAATTGTATGGTCAATACAATAAACTGACGTTTTGTCCCCTCTTCTATCTGTTAAGGTCATCAAATTTATAATTGATTTAGATGTGTATAGTTTATAAGTTACTCAAACAGGCTTCTATAAAATTTTATAGTTACATTCGTCATTTATGATAGTTTTCATTTGTTTATGAAAGAAAAAATATTGTTGGTTTTTATAAAACACTAAGTACCATATGGACAAATTTATTGATAATTGAGAATCATAATCAATTTTTGGATGGGAAATTCAAAATCTTTCTTTTTTACACGTTCTTTTTTTAAATCTTTTATTTGAAACGCTAATTATGATATTTGTATATTATTTCACATATGTCATAATATCCCATAGATTATGTAATCAATTTTGTAGAAAACTATTTAAAGGTGTAATACTTTTGTAGTGAAAACAATTACATAATCTCAGTCAGTCAGTCAGCTGCAACGTAGAACCAGGCACGTATATGCATCGGTCCAAGTTGCCATGCCGCACTAGCACAGCAAGATGAACACCGGATTCATTGAAGTAGTTAATTCAGTGGTGGTAATATATAGAAGAAAGATTGTGTATAAGGAGATAGTACAGGAAGAAAGAATTAGTTCCTAGAAAGAAAGATTTGAAGTGATTTTAATCTCTTAGTTTGAAGGACGACAGAGAGTGTATACACCGACGCCATTGTGATCGATTCTGAGCCATATCACCCAGAATCTCCAACCACTGGTTACGATAATCGCGTGGACCCCAACCAAGTAGTCTGTATCTAACAACATGGCTCAG